ATTTATCATAGACCTCCATTTCCGGCCACCATGGAAGAACTTTTAGAAAGACAGTGGGAACAAGGATCAGAGTTTCTCATGCAACAAGGGGCACATTTTGACAGTAAGTACTTTGGATACGTGTACCAAAATTTCTACCAATAGACTGTTAACAGTGTTTTCTGTACAAAGCAGTCCTACTAATTAATGCACTGTGGAACTGTCCGGACACACACAGGAATGAGCAGGGTGGAATAAGTAACGCGCAGGGCAGCGACAGCAATCCTGGTACTGTATAGTGTTCATTTATGCTCAAAATTTGAAAAGTCGTGAATTCTAGCAGCTATCCACAGTTTTTATGATTGATGCCCGGGCATTTTGGCAAGTGGACTCTGCCATTTTGTTTACTAATGCTAGTTGGTGTTCAACAATAGGACAATACCATTCAATTCGTAGGGATGACAACGACAAATGCTGCCCCACACATTACTTATTTCCCTCTATTTGTTCCTGTGCGTGTTTCGGAGAGTCCACGCATGTCCGCGCGTTAATTAGTAGGACCCAAACGAAGTGTTGCGGTCTTTATGTTTAAGCTGTTTTTGTTTAACATTGTACCTTACCACTCTGCTCTGTTAGTGCATGCGTTTACACAAATATAACAGAGGTGTGTGTGTGTGTGGTAATAACAAGTCATATTTGAATGATCCAGTGTATGATAACTAGATGCATTTCTAATACAGTACGTATTTTGTGTTTAGTTTCATCATTACTATCTTGCTTACACCAACTCCGGGCTGAAAACCAAAGATTGGAAGACCACATTAAGAACCTTGTTGCCAGACGAGATCATTTACTGGCTGTCAATGCAAGACTATCTGTACCACTAGCTAATTCAAGTGCAACTGCCACTGACAATGGCCCTAATCCACAGGGTGCTGGTCGAAGTCCACGGTTGAATAACATGATTCCGTCTGACCCGCCGCAAGCTCAGGTAAGAAACCTGTCTCAACCAAACAACCCCTCTCTAATCCCAGAATTGACAGGTCTTAAATGTATTAAAAAGAACTTAAGCCAATTTCGTTCTCTTCAAAGCTGTATTCACATGTTCATATATGTGAAATATTGAACCCAGAATAAGATCAAATCATAAAATAAGAAATTTTATTCTGAGAGTACTAGGGGCTCTTATCCTGTAGACAAAACACCCAAAAAGCGTATTCAGCGAAAATTAGTTCCAGCTAAAATAAAGTATTTTACAGTAACCTTCCAGAACAAATCAAGCATCCAAACTCACTGAATGTCTTTAGCTTAATTTGAGAGGCTTTGAATAAATCTACAATCTGTCTTCAATGTTCTGAACATTTTGTAACCATTTCTAACAGTGTTCATGACTTACTGTTTATGTTTACTTCAGCTGTGGAAGTCAACTAAAATATGAAGTTGTTAGTATTTTAGGATATATTCTGACATCATAATAAAAGTGATTTCCTGTTTTATTTTATAATATTTCTGTAATTATGTTGCTAAAACAGATTTTAAACTCACAAATTATCATACTTAAAAATTACATAAAAACCTGTGGAAGAATTCTAATTGGTTCCAATTAGTTCTTAGTGCAGTGTTCTCCACAAATAAAATTTAAAGAGGGCGCCAATTTGCATATAATTAGCATATTTAATTTGCATATAATTAGCATACTAATCAAACATTTCAAAGGAAATTCTTAGCACTTTTATATTTACATCAATTAAATACTGTGTACATGTACTATATTAATGTTCTTGAATTATTTTGATAAGTTAAACCACTTGATGTGTAAAAAAATATCAACTTTGACAAATGAAGAATATCAATTTTATTCTTTGTAAAAGTGTAATGGAACAAGTTGTGAAAAATTAGCCTTTCATTTATTTCTTTTAAATTTCTTTCAAATATTTACATTTTTATAGGTTTTATAAATGCACTGAGATATTGTAATAGTTGAAAACCCCAAGTAATAAGAAGAAGAATATTTTCACATAACAAAATTACCATTTAAAAGAAAAAGAAAAAATCGAATCCGATGACTGTAAATAAATTATCATTATGTTGATTGCACTGTGGGTACTGAGGACAAACGTCAAATCAGATACCGTGACATCTATGTTGTTTCAGTGTTTACCATACGTTTTGTTTTGGTGATTTATTTGATGATTCTTTTTACTTTTCGCCAATAAAAGGCAAGTAACAAGCAATTGGACCAATAAATTGTTGCTGGTTCTCCTGTTCTTAAGTATCTAAGCTAATTCAGGAATGATGAGAAAACTTGTTTTGACTATCCCATTGCATGATTAACGCAATGCTTGTGACAATCACTTCACACACGGTTACTAAAAAAGACGGTTAGGAAACGCTATTGTTAAAAGGTGTGAATCTGCCTAATTCCTCAAGGATGCGTGTCGCTCTGTGTACGCCGTCTATTGCTCGAAATTTCAAGGCCCACCATTTTGTTTCATTTTTGTGTCGATCACTTGATGTTCCGCGAATTTGAAATTTTAAGCTCGTTTTCGATAGAATATCCTTGTTTAGTGCACAAACTCTACGAAGAACTACATGTACATTTTGGATGAGTACTCTTTGTGACTGTGATAACATTCAGAATCGAGAATCGTCATTTATCGTTTTCACTGTTGTCATGAAAGTAAGCTTGGGTCCCGGAAGAAAAAGTAATGAAATTTCTAACCCCTAAGTCACTATTTTAAAATACATTATATTATAAAAAATACTACCAAATGAATTTTTAGTATACTACTGTG